CTCCTTCGGCTATAAATAAAACAACTTTGTTGCAAAACAATGATGCTTTGCTTTCTTTGGTATCACTTTTAACATAAATCCCTTTTCTCGTGGCAAACAACTTCCATAATTTAAAGGTCTGCAGAAGTTGTACTTGAATGTTTCTAGTGCATCCATTCGATTTTTTTCATTTTTTTAACAAAAAAAGAATTCTTCCAAATTGAAGATGTACTCGTGCATTTCAATCTTCGAAAGAACAACTTGATTAGTAGTATAACTATCCCCTCATAAATTAAATCCTATCGCTTCATTTAAGCAAAAAGAAAGCATGTCTAAAAGTGGGTCTAGCAACCCACTCCCATTATTAGTTGTTATAATTGCTCAAGCAGTATAGCAAAGTATTGACGCAATTATGTGATGACTGGCATCACCACCTCCACTTAAAAAAAAAACAGTTAGTCATGTCAGTGTGTAACACTGGAACCATCGTGTGATATAGCACTGGAGCAATCATATTAGAACCACAACACAAGCACCACAAGTTAGTTTAACCTTGGTATTTTTGGTTTTCCTGGGAAACTATGGGCATTTCAGTAAACAGCAAAGGCCAAACAAGACCAAAGCCATAAAGTACACTACATAGAGTAAATACTACAACATCTTCCTATCTCTCTCAGCTTCACATGCTTACATTCTTTCCTGAACCAAGACAAAAGCTCATTGAATTTAAGATATTCTTCTCTCTCTCTCTCTCTCTCTCTCACCCTCCATCTCTTGTTTTCTGGTTCTCACCACATTGGACATCATCTTCATATCTGCAAAATCTAACACAGCCATTGGATATTTGGATTGGAGTACCCTTCCTGTGAAACCTGTTTGTTTTTTTTGCTATCTCTGTACAAAAATTTCTCTTGTGACATTTATTTTACTTTGTTCTTTTCTTTGGGAGTACATGCTATACCCTGTTTTTTTCCTCTGTTTTTTTCATGGCTGCTCCTGCAACTCCTATCCAAATCTTTCAAGGCCAAAACAACAACAACAACACCACCACCAGCAGCGGCAGCAACCAAGAAATTGTTAACAGAAAAGAGATAGAAGCTGCCATTTCCAAAGCCGTGGAGCTTAGAGCTCTCCATGCTGCCTTAATGCAAGGAAACAGCCCTGCCCATCTCAGATTCCAATCTCAATCCTCCCCTGTTTCGCGCCCTGTTTCTCAGTTTTCTGCTCAAGACTATCCTATCTTTACCCCAGTAAGCAGCTTAACCTTCCCGTTTCAGCAGCAGTTGAATTTACTCGAGTCTCTGTATATGGCCACTGTGTTTGGACTTTGGAGGGTCTCTTTTGTTCTGTTCTGTTGAGTAATACGGCTTCTCTCCATACTCGGTTATTCCGTTCTATTCTTGTTTTATTCTAGTTAAACCTCAATTCATAATTTTTATGTCTTATGATTGAATTAGGAAAGGAAAAGTAACCGAGTAATGTCACCATTATTGTGATTATGACATATGTGTGCCTTTCTTTTTTATGTGTTTGTCGAGATGTCATGTGTATTACTTGGATTAAACATTTAATGAATTCCATGATAACATTTTGGCTGTCACATAGTGTTGGTGTCTTTTAAATTACTTCCGTTGTTAACGTTGTCAATTAAAATCTCAAAATAGTAATCGCATCTTTATTGAAAACAAAGCATTCCCATCCTCTGCTAGCTATATTTTTTTACCCCTTTAGAATGCTTGTTATTTTCTAATCTTAAAATCTGATTTTTGATTCTAGTTACTCACTGGAGCGTATTTCAATTGTCACTGAAAGCTTAAGGGTTCATTGTCTTAGTTTACCTAAAGTCTTACAATGTGAAAGCAATTTTTTTTCCTCCTAGTCCGCAACTATGCTGGTTAATTTTGAGTGTTATACATACTGAAGTTGGAGGTGAATGTAAATCTTATAGAACTCGATGATATGTTTGCGACAAAAAAAAAAAAAAAAAAGATCTTATAGAACTCCTAATTCAAACCTTGATTAATGACTCAGTTTTACAACATCCTGACAGAGTTATGAAGATGAACCATTACCGGGACATCATCAGCTCATGTCAAAATCAAGAACATTGTCAGAAAGTTGGGATGATTATGGGCTAGATGGTGGAAGTGGATATGAAACTGGCGTGTCAGAATATAAGAAGGAGAATTCATCCTCGAGGAAAGGAGTTCACGCAGGTCTTGCCAATTTGGAATCCCGTAGTTGTCAGGCTGAAGATCAGAAATCTATCAATGTTTCTTGGGCAAGCAACATTAGCATGCTTGACCCTTCTCCGGGGAAAGATTTCTACAAGTCTAGTCGTAGAAATAGTATGGCGGACTTCAAATCTGTGTCTTCAAGTAACAGATGCAAACCTGCTGCTACCTTAACCAGTGAGTCTCAAATTGTTAGCAAGAGGAATTCTAATATTGTTGTCCCCTTGACAGATGCTCACTCATCTGTTCAATCACAGCCCAAGAACCGGAGGATGATCTCATGGTTGTTTCCAAGGTTTAAGAAGAAGCAGCAGAAGAATGAGAACTCACCAAACCGGACAGAATCCGAGGAAGTCTCTCAGATTTTCAAGGACTTGGGGATATTGTCAGTTGAAACACTGAAGAGAGCGCTGATAGAAGCATATGAGAATAGAGATGCGGCCTTAATGGAAGTTGCCGAGGTGAAATCTTCAATGGGGGAACTAAGGCAGAAGCTTGAGTATCTGGAGAGTTACTGTGAAGAGCTGAAGAAAGCTTTAAGGCAAGCAACTCAAACAAAAGATTCACTAGTTGTCGAAAAGCTTGCCAGCTTTCCAAACAGAGGGAAATCCCTCGAGGGAAATGGAGAAACATTGATGCCGGTAAGCGAAGAGGTAATGGTGGAAGGTTTCTTGCAGATAGTATCAGAAGCAAGACTGTCGGTGAAGCAATTCTGCAAGACGCTGATAGGACAGATTGAAGAAACAGATGGCACCCTTCTGGAGAATTTGAATTTGCTTCTTCAACCATTTAAATTGTCTCTAACTTCAAAGTATTCCAAGGCAGTGCTATACCATTTGGAAGCCATCATCAACCAATCACTGTACCAAGATTTTGAGAACTGTGTTTTCCAAAAGAATGGCTCACCAAAGCATTTAGACCCTCAACAAGATCGCCAAGCTCAATTTTCATCCTTTGTGGCACTGAGGAATCTAAGTTGGAATGAAGTCTTAAGAAAGGGGACTAAATTTTACAGTGAAGAGTTCAGTAAGTTCTGTGACCAGAAAATGAATTGCATCATTACAACATTGAATTGGACTAGACCATGGCCCGAGCAGCTTCTCCAAGCTTTCTTTGTTGCTGCTAAATGCATATGGTTGGTTCATTTGCTTGCCTTTTCATTCAATCCACCACTAGGAATTGTGAGGGTTGAAGAGAACAGGGTGTTTGATGCACATTTCATGGAAGATATGCTGGTGGATAGACAAAGGGCGCATGGCCCAAGCCGGGTTAAGATCATGGTCATGCCAGGGTTTTATGTGCAGAACAGCATTTTGAGATGTAAGGTTCTATGTAGGTATAAATCTATAGTCTAAGTGATCTGTCGTCTATTTAGTGGGTTTCAAGTGCCTTCCTCTATCATGGTAAAATTTGCAGGTTGTAACTGTAGAGTATATGAGTTAATAAATACTCACTCAATTGGACTTGCTACTGGTGCCACAAAATATTGAATTATTATTGCCTATGTATTTGCTTTCCACTTAACTATTGACCCTATCATCATGAGAGCCCAAAAATGTCAAAAGAGGGACTCTTCTAGTATTGGAAATTTTGTGAAGGCAAACAAAAGTGGTTGGCTTTTGGTTGAGAATTAGGTCAAATACTCTTGGAAGGTTCATTTATGCAACTAGATGTGCTTAGGATATGATGACTTATGTGTTATTTACAGCGTCAAATCAAAGAAGCAGCAGGTGACCCATTTACTTTATTAAGGTTCCACGAACAGTCTCTGTCCTAGTACCAATCCGAATAATGCTGCTACACTAGAATTTTATAAATTTAGGCCAAAAACAACTTGTTGGTTATATATGCAGAAATGAACAAATAAAAATGAAGCCCAAGGCTGGTAAATAAGTAATATTCAGATTTGTGTGACTGGTTTCTACCCAAGCACAAGTAGAAAACGAATTTGGGTGTACTTATGCAGTAGATTTGATTATGGTAGAAATGGAAGGAGCAAAGTGATGCATAGATTCGGTTACTTTCTTCAGGTTTTGAACAGGGGAAAAGGTTGTTCTATTCACTTTTTCAAGCTTGTGAGAGAAAGGAGAAAAGGCTGTAAAAAATTCATGCATGCGTCTGCAAAAGGGTGGAAAACACATGTAGGCAAGGCAGTGGGAGCGAGCGAACTCAAACAACTAGAGTTTGCTTTTACCCTCCCTTTGGTATAATGGAATTGAAATCAATTCCAAGAATTGAAATCAATTCCTTAGTTTGGTATAATTCTACTTTATTAAAATTAGGAATTGAATTCTATTTTTTATTTTTAGAGCAATATTTTGGTAATATTTCAAATCCAAGCAAAACCTATGGGATTTGGAATTCAATTCCATTGGATAAGTATTGGTATGTCTAAATGATAAAAATGACCCTATACTCTTATTTTAGTTTTTTTTTAGTAAAAAGACAACTTAGGTAATTTTAACAATTCAATTGATAATTTGTTTTATACCAAACATTGGAATTGAATTCAATTCCTCATTATTAGAAAGTATACCAAACATGGAAATTGATTTCATAATGAATTCTAATTCTAAATTTTTAATGAATTGAATTCAATTCCAATTCCAAATTGATACCAAAAGGACTGTTAATTCTTCTTTCCTGACATCAAAAAGTCCGAGATTATTCGATTGGATGTACCACTTTTCTCCCTTTTTCTAACATTTAGCAACAAAAGCCAAAAAAAAAAAAGGGAAAATTTCTCCTTTCAAAATTTTCAAAAATCAACAAGAAAGCATAAACAATTTCCGTTGCCGGGAATCGAACCGGGTCTCCTCGGTGAAAACCAGATATCCTAACCGCTGGACGACAACAAACTTGTTGAGAAGGTACATATTCATCAGCTAATAATACTCTTAACTTTCTTTTATTTATTCATTTATTTTTTTGTCAGAATTATAAATGTTTTCATTTCATACTCATAATTAATACAACACTTAGAATAGACATTAACTTTAGGAAATTTCCATACATTATACACTAAGAAACTTAATCGCAATCCGGCAAAGAGGGCAACAATTTTTGGCTCCACAATTTGTACTAAGGTTGTTGTAGAAAATTTAGGAGATCTTTTGTAATTGGTTAGTACCAATTGAGCTTCCTCAGTGTTTTTTTTTTTTTGAACGGTATCTTCCTCAGTGTTCACACGCTGGATAATACCTTTAAGCCTTAGTATTTTTAAGCCTGCACAGACAAGTTTGAATCACCCCAAAACCAAAATTCGCTGAGCCGGAGCTGTGGCTCCACCGCAAGTAAAATCCAAACAGGACCGACGCCACCACCGTCACCGTCATCGTCATCACTGCCGCGGCCATCAACGGCGATCACGCCTCTTCCGAGCAACTGCTGCTTCTAAACTTGTGGTCAAAATACCCTAAATTCGGATAAATCCAGAACTGAAAAATAGATTCTAAAGATCGTGACCGATCTCAAGCGAACCCATTAACTATAAGTAGAACATGTAGTATCCACACTAGACTTGGGCATTTCATCGAATACTTGGTCTGTATTTCGCAAAACATACAACATTCACCATTGGTGTGGGGTTTACATCATGGACTGGGGGATGATTGTATGTGGGTACAAAAGCATTAAGAAGGGGAGATGATGGAGGAAGAAGAGAGGAACCTGTTTCTGTTTGTTTATCTCATCACCGGTGCAAATCCGGTGGAAAATTAAGCCAAGAGAAACAAGCATTCAATTATGAAAGTGACGAAATTATGGAAATCAAGACTCAAATCGTGTTTCATCGCTGACTAGACTTTGCACATGTTTTTGGGTAGATCTGGGTTTGGATATGAGGAAACATGGGATTCACTCTACTTATTTTTTGAAATTTTAGAGAGAAAGCAGAGAGGAAAAACTAGAGAGAGGAAAGACCGTTATGACTCCTAACCTTTTTATTTTCACTTTTTCTTTTATTTATTTGTCATAGCCTGAGAGACTTCAAGATTGGTTCCCCTACCATAGCAAGCGAGCTTTCTTATCTTTATATGATACCGAGTTTAAGCTCATTCTTTGAAGATTCGTGCGAAGAATTATTCTTGTTGTGATGTGGAAGCATGTGGTGGGTCTACAGTCCAATTTGGTAAAGGACTAATCACATTTTTTTCCCCCCGTGATTGCAGTTTAGGATATTTTTTATCCCTTCATTACACAATGCACGTATTATAACCTGTTAAAATATGGGTCCTTCGAGGTGTTTGTTCCACGGATCTTCGGCTTTGGTAGTGTGCTTCTTAATCCGTCAGGTCCTTCTTGTATCAACCAGGCCTTTGAGGTTTGATCTACAAGAAGAAAAAGAGAAAAAGGGCTTGGGGAGGCCCTGGGTGGTGACCCCAAAGACCCCCCGATGCCTAAGTAAGACAAGAGGGAATTTAGAGAGAAGATTTGAGGGAAGAAAGGTTGAGAGTGAGTTTTCTCTGGTTACTCTCTTATGTATTGAAAAGCTTACCCAAGCTCCCTATTTATAGGAAAAAGTAGGTGGAGCAGGAGCTGTGAATAGAAGCTGAAGGGTTCAATCATTAAACCATAAGCGTTATAACGCTTGTTAACATAAGAAACAAGCTTCTCGTGTTTCTTATGCCAATTAGCTGATTTAGCTATCACTTCTAGGTCCTGTACTATCATCTCTAGGTCCTGAGTCGAAAGAGCTATCTCCCCTAGGTCCTTGGCTACTTTCTAGGTCCCGATTAGGTCATTCATGGTGGCAAAAAATGCCTTATGTTATCACAACCCCCAACTCTAAGGGATGTTGTGTAGCAATTTTCCTTAGAGTTTATTTTCTCTAGGATGTGCTTTTATTTTGGTCGTATTAGACTGCCTTAGAAGGCTAATTCTAATCATGACCTCAATATATCTAAGCTTGAGCTTCAAACTTGTTGAGCTTGTGAACCACATCTTGGTGGGCGTAGGCTCATCAAACAACCAATGTGGAGTTGGCTCGAATTTCAATTTGGTGAAATTGAGAACTCTTATAGCTCTCTGTCTAAGTGATCCTCTTGTTAGATAGAGCTTGAGGACTTTGCAGGTCTCACTTGGATTTGCACGAAGCCCCCATTCTTAACAGAACTCTTTACTCTTTTGTTGTCTCCAAGTGGTCTTTTTTTTTGGACGTTCTTTTTTGGATTCCTCCAAGATAAGGAGGTCCTGATATATAGAAGACCTCTGAAAGTGGGTGCCTCCTTCACTGTGCAAAGAGAACCTCAGAATGCGGTACTTTCTTTGTACGTTTATTAATATGTGATCATAATTTTTTGGACTAGTTAGCCTTGGTTGTCTTTCTCTCTCTCTTTTTTTCTCTTCTTTGAGTATGCGACTTACTGGGGCTAGATATTGCCTTTAGTCGTCTTTCAAGATGCGATCTTTTCTTTAGATCGTCTTTTACTATGAGATTTTTTTAGATCGTCCTTCTTCTGTGCAACTGAAAACATCTGTATGGGCTTTCACCGTCTTACTCTACGACCAATATAGGTTGCATGGCCTGTAGTCCTCTTTTTTGAATGTGGGATGTTCCCATTGAGTCAAGGTCCTTGGTTTGTTACTTTGGACCTTGGGGCCTCTGGTCTATTTAAGGACTTCTATTTACAAGATCCTATGGGACCTTTAGGTCTTTAAGGACCTTGTTTCATGGATTGTTTGAGGCTTTTGCATTTCAAAGACGGTCTGAATGAGACTTTTGAGACCTCTGATCCTTATGGTCTTTAAGGATCTTTGTTTAGAGTGGCCCCTTTTTAGCCGAGATCTTCGCTTTGGGGTCTTTAAAGACCTTAGAGATCTCCGCTTTTTAGGATTTGTTTGAACACCACCTTTTGAGACCTTTAATTTTTAAGGCTTTTAGATTTTTTTCAGACCTGATTCAAGGTCTCTATGGATCTCGAGACCTCTGATTTTTAAGATCAAGGATCTTTATTTCTGAGGTCGCTGAAGACTATGGCTTAGGAGCTTTTTTTTTTGGGACCTGAGGTCTTTGTGGATCTCGAGACCTGTGATTTCTAAGGTCGGGGATCTTAAATTTTGAGGTCCTTGTGGACTGTGGCCTTTGGGCTTTGAGACCTTCGATTTTCAAGGTCTTCAGAGATTTCAAGATCTTTCATTTTCAAAGTTTTTTGGGGATCTTGGGACCTTTGATTTTCAAGGTCAAGAATCCTTATTTCAGAGGTCTCTAGGGACCGTTTCTTGGGGACATGTTTCCAAAGAAGTCTCATTTAGATCAAGGGCCTTCTTTTTAGAGGTCTTTAATAAGCATAGCTTGGAATCCTTTTGGTGCCTGTCTTGACTCGAGGTTTTTGGGGATTTTAGAACCCCTGACTTTCAAGCTCTTTATGGATCTCTTTTGGGGACCTTTTCTTTGGGGAGGTCTCCTTCTCCAGGGCCTTTGATGGAGATTTTAAGCTCTGTATTATCAGAGATTAGTTGTGTTCACTGCTTTGCATTTCATAGGCAAGGCTGCAACTTCATAGTGCACGTGTTAAGTCACGTTATTGTATGAGAGTGAGTGCGCAGGTTAGGCCGCAGCTTTGGGAAGTACATCTAACTGAAGAGTCGCGATTTAAGCCTCGACTTTGGATGTCTAACTAGCATTCTTTAGTAGATTACTATTGTCAGCTTTTATACATTGCAAGGAGAGCTTTTGACCTTCCACTGAGGTCTTTCCTTTGCAGGTCTTCTCTCAGAGGCACTTATTTTGGAGGACCTCAACCTTCTGAGCCTTCTATCATTAGGTTCCTCAGAGAGAAGGCTTTGATAAAATTTTGACAACAGAGCCATAGAACTCCTTTAGTCAATAGCGACAGCAAAGTCTTGGAAAGTCCTTATTTGTAGGAAGATTTAATAGCAAGACTTATTTGAAGGAATATAAGAAGAGAACCTGTGTTGGTTTCAATTTTTTGGGGACGCAGAGACCTTTTAGGTTCTTCTAGTTTCACGTTTGGCGGAGTAATCCTTCAATTCTTGAATTTTTCTTTCTGCTTCTTCTTCCTTTTTGACAGTTCCACTTGCTTGCAAGAAAGCATTTCCTTCTTGTAGAAAACATCATGTGGACCTTCTCTCCCATTGCTTTGCATACAATTTCATTGTATGCCTTCGTTGTAGAGGTCCTTCTTTGGATTGGTCTTCACTGACTCAATATGAAATATTGGTCCTAGGATTCCTTACTTTGGAATTCTCAAGGAAGGTCCTCATGGACTCATTATGGAAGCTTTGCTTCTGAGGTCTCTTATTTGGGAAGGACCTAAGGAACTTTTATTTGAGAAGAGGTATCCCTTATTTGGGAGTTTTCAAGAAAGGTCCTCATTATAGAGGTTCCTTTCTAGAGATGTCTCCATGAGACTTATTATGGAAGCATTGCTTCTGAGGTTCCTTTTTTGGGAAAGTCCCAAGGAACTTCTATTTGAGAGGACCATAAGGTTCTTCATTCTAGAGACCTCTAGAATCCTTCTTTGAGAGGTTTTTAAGGCTCTTTTGTTTAAGAAATCTGCATTCTAGAGATCTTCGTGGCTACTCGTAGCTCCTATTCAAAGCCATATTGGACTGCCTCGGCTTATTATGGGGAAAACCTCTTTGATTTGAGAGTAAGCACCTGGATGGTGGATTTTGAATATAAACCTTGGCTTGGTACTTTTGCTCTTTAGCTCGATATGGTCTTTCCCAACTTTAGCTCCGTTTTGGGCTCGCTGCCTCTATCCTAAAAAAGACCAGGTTTTTTTAATGGATCAAGGTCCAACTTTTTTGTTGTAGTACCTCAGTATCGCCTTTGGGAGGCCCTGGGTGGTGACCCCAAGGACCCTTCGATGCCTAAGTAAGACAAGGGGGAATT